GCACTCATGGGCGTGCCCCGCAGAGGTGCGAGAGAGACGGAGTGACGGAGCGCGCGCCACGGAATACTGGAGGCGGCGAGGCGCAGAACAACGGTTTGAACGGCAAAGTGGAATGGATGGCCACGGCGGTGGAATAGAGGCCATGGAGGCCATGAAGGCCGTAGAGGTCATGCAGGCCGTGGAGGCCGTGGAGGCCCATAACGCAGCCTCATTTTCCCCTTCGACCAGCGCATCAATGGCAGAAGTCATCGATCTGTTGCTGTTGCTGCTTTTGTTTGTTTTGAAATTAAGAGCCTCCATCCTGGTGAACGTCCCGGTTGTCGACCTGGGAATCAATGCAGACGAGGCCGCGGCGCTGTTATGGCTGGACTGGCCGGCCGGTGTAAAATACGGCCTTATTTCCCACGGGCCGCGTCAAGCAGTTAGTGTCGTGTTCCATTCCGGGAACCGCCGGGAACGCAGGGGCGTGGGGCTGGCTGGCTGCTCGGGCTGGCCGCGTGGCTGGCCGCGTGGCTGGCTGCTCGGGCTGGCCGCGTGGCTGGCTGCTCGGGCTGGCCGCGTGGCTGGCTGCTGCTGGCCGCGGGCTGGCTGCTCGGGCTGGCCGCGTGGCTGGCTGCCGGCGGCCGCTCTGCTGCTCGGGCTGGCCGCCGGCTGCACGGGCGGGCGTTCAGTGACCCCGCCCTGGCCCAAGAACGCGGTAATTCCCCGCGTGCCCGTTTCAAATATTCCACCGGGATCCTCCGGTTGAATGACGCCCAGCTGCAGTGGTCCGCTGTCGTCGCTCGGTCTCTCTCTCGCAGCCGAGCGGCACACCGCCGGCACACCGCGAGCGCGAGAGAGACGGATGGCCTCGTTGCCATCCGTCTTTCTGCCGCTGTCCGGCCCGAAAACCATTGGCGCGGAACGGCGTGCCGATCGGCTGCTTTGGGAGATGCAACAAAGTGCGTCGTGTAGACTGCGGGCGCTTTCGTGCGACAAGCGCGGTAAGGCCGCCGTGTTTGGCTGCCGCTTCTGCCTTTCGATCCGAGTCCGAACCATGCCACTGCCCGCTCAACATAATTATCCTTACTCAATCTAGTGGGTCGCGCGCCCGTTGACATTTCCCATTACCCCGTTCGCTCGGGGCGCCGCGCGCTGCCCCCTGGCTGCCCTGCGGGTCGGACGTCACTGGAGCAGACGCCGGGGCGCCGACGCACCACTGCACGCTGAATGGCGTTGTCGCTCTGTCTCTGTCGCACTCGCGGGGCGCGCCGTCAGCGTGCGAGAGTGGCGGAGCGCCGCACGCGCGGAATCGCTCAGCCGGCGCCGCCTCCGCCACTGCTGCTAATTAGAATCCCCAACCTGTTTTCAGATCCTCGTCCGTCCCCACTTTTCTGCGTCGACAGTGCCGCGTGGCCGCGTGGCGTGGCGGCGTGGCGTGGCCGCACTCTGTGTGATTCCAGGAATTCGACTCGACGCCCAACTTTGAACCTAATCCGTTCCCCGTACAGAGGGCTGGGGTGGAGGCCCCTTTTGGGACGCTGCACAGTGGGCCAGAAGACCGGCGCCGGCGGCCAAAACTCTAGACGCGTTTTTAGCTCCAGAGGCGATAAACAGGACTCGAACCGAACGTGGGACCCCACCAATTGATTCCTCGTTCGGAGAGCAGTCCACGCGCTAGGTTCGAGTCCCATTTAGCGACTCTGGAGCTCAAAACGCGTCCGGGATTTGGGCCGCCTCCGCCGGTCTTCCGGCCCACTGCGTGGCGGTGGGCAGGGCCGGCAGGGCCGCGTCCCGGGCGGCGCTCCGCATCCCCCTTCATGAGGCCGGCGCCGCGGAGGCAGCAGCCCTGCCGCAATAATTAATTTTTATGCCTTTCGGGACGCGTCCGAGAGTCCGGGCGTCCGGGGCGGCGATGACGGCGGAGAACAGGTGCTGCAGTTGGAACGCGGCCACCGCCATTACGGCGCAGCGCGGGGGGGCGGGCCGGGCCGCCAGAGTGGCGGAAAGGAGAGAATTTGTTGTTCCAACCGATTTGTGGCGGGTAAGCACTGTGAGCTGGAGCGGCTGGGGCCGCCTCTGGAGCCAGTGCTGGAGCCAGTGGACTGGATCCGAGTGGGAGGCCTCTCTCTCTCTCTCGCACTCGTGAGACGCTTCGCACCGGTGCGAGAGAGACAGACCGGCGACCGCACTGGGCGGAATCAGTCTACTGGCGGGAGGTGGGCCGGTGGGCCCCGGGGCGAGTCGGCTATAGTCCATCCACTCGGCGCGGTGCGGTGCCGTGTCGGGAAGGCTGCCAAAGCGGCTTTTCGTCACCAAGAGTCTTGGTCCAAGCGCCCCGGCGGCCAAGCAGCCCAGTGCCCAGGGCTCGGCCAGAGGCGCGAAGGGGTAGCAGAGCAGCCTCCCGCATCCCTCCAGCCTCGCCCAGCCTCGTCCGCAGTCCTCAGCCTCGGGCTCCTCGAGACGTCGGTCGCCTTATTGCATGTGGCCCTCCTATTTCCCCCCCCCCCTCGTGTGTGATTTTTCCTCCTTCTTTTCTCGCTGGGATGGCTTCTGCGACGTGATCCAACAGCCAGCAGGACCGCCACCGCCGCCCCGTGATCAATCTTATTTCTTTGCCGCTATATCGTCATCCGCGAATCTTTGCGTCGGGGCGGCCACCGCTCGCAATGCCCCTCCCCTCCTCCCTCCCCCCCCCTTCCATCCTCCACCCCCTTTGTATTCCCTGCGCCCACCTCAAGGGGCTGGAACACAAGACGGCGAACGCACCCACAACAATCATTTGTCTTGGAGGGAGCCGTGTTTGTTGTCCCTCTCTGCTTTCTTGGCTTTCTTCTTTCTTCTCCAGGCTCTGCAATCCGAGGGCGCACTCGTAGCGCTTTGCCGGAACGGACTGGTTCAATCGGAGCGGGTGGACAGGAAACATTGAGGTGCAGAAGCGGATACATTGGTTTGTACTGGGTATTCTTTATTTTTACGTCTTTTCAGCTACACTAGGGGTCTTTCGGATTATAAATATATGGCGGCACCACTGCGTCTTTCTTCTCTAGCGGTCACAAGATCATACATCGAGAAACCACCACTGCAACTATCACTATTCACTGGGCACATCTCATATTCTGTTGGAATATCGGAAACGATGCTCATTCTTGCACAGCAGTCTTTTTCCAAACAACAAGTTTTGCAGAGATGATGCGTTTCATGGCGCGTTATGATGAGTTCGAACCATCCATGATAAAGTGCAAAGGGAAATGAAATGAAGACGACAATGAATGAAGATGTGTCGATGAGAACGTCTGGAAGGTTACGGCGACCTTGCACGCGCCTGGGATTCCCCTCCGCTCCGCCCCACGGGGCCAGGGCGGGCCGGCCCGAGTGAATCTGCACCCCGTAAATTTGACGTATTTTTGCCGTTTCTTAAACTTCATATTAACGTCAAAATTACGACAAACATACGTCATAAATTAACGTCAAATATACATCAAAGGGATTTGACGTAAAGCTGCCGTAGATTTGACGTTTTTTTGCCCGTAAAAGTGGTAGAATTAACGTCAAAAATACGGCATCCTGAAGGCCGGCGGAAAGGGAGAGAAGAGATGGCAAAACGAAGACTGGCCGACGCCAGGTGTCGACCCACGAACGTGTCGATTGAAAGTCGGAGACGGTACCGCTGGGCCAGAGCGTATGCCTGTAGGATCTTGGAACGGCGGTGGTATCTCTGCCTTCAAGTTCGGACTGGGACTAGATTCACAACCAGCAGTCAACAGCACATGTATATTTCAAGTCAGTCGGACATACTATTTTGTAATGCATGCAAGTATCATTTCAAGATTGATTCAGTCGTGTGTCCGTACTTGGCGAATTCACCCAATTAGACTGTGTACAAAACTGCTGGCCAGTCAAAATTGTCTTGACCTCCTGCTGATTGCTGGTTGTGAATCCAGCCCGAGTCCGACCGAATTGCGAGGCAGACATCCGCGCCGTTCCACACCACACAGGTATACGCTCTGGCCCAGCGGTACCGTCTCCGACTTTCAACCGACACGTTCGTGGGTCGACACCTGGCGTCGGCCAGTCTTCGTTTTGCCATCTCTTCTCTCCCTTTCCGCCGGCCTCCAGGATGCCGTATTTTTGACGTTAATTCTACCACTTTTACGGGCAAAAAAACGTCAAATCTACGGCAGCTTTACGTCAACTCCCTTTGATGTATATTTGACGTTATTTTGACGTTAATTTATGACGTATATGTTTGTCGTAATTTTGACGTTAATATGAAGTTTAAGAAACGGCAAAAATACGTCAAATTTACGGGGTGCAGATTCACTCGGGGGGGCGGGCCAGGGCCAGCGCCAGCTCCAGGGGGTGGGGTGCTTCATGTGCGCCAGGAATGATGGCTTTGATGGCGGCGCGGCGTCGGGTTGACTCTGTCTGCGGCCCTGACGGCCCTCACGGCCATGACGAGGTGCGTGCCACTTGCCGCCCCGATTGCCCTCCATCTCGCTGTCCTGTCCCTGGGCCTGGCTGGCCCCACGGCCACCCTGGCGCCCCATTAAACAAACCCTGACAGCCTCGGGTTCGACTACCCACCCTCGTCCGTTTTTTCTTCTCTTTTGCCTGAGGTTCGCCTCTACTCATCGGGGAAGGCCAGCGCGTCCGGGGCCGGGGAGCTGATGGCGCCGAACGTCTTTTTGTCGACGTGGTCCTCGTCGTGCTGGCCCTGCTGGTCCTCGTCCCGGCCGAGCCGCGTGGAGCACCACGGACAGGGGTCCCCGCGGGGCCGCGGCGGGGCGACCGTTCGGGGCGGCACCGGCGGGGACGGGCGGCGGCCCGGCATCGGAGGGGAGGGGCGATAGGGGCGGCGGGGCGGCGCCGGTTCCTGGAAATGATACGGGTAATGGTGGCGCTCGGGCCAAGCAGGCCCCGGGGACGGCGAGGGCGGCGAGGGCGGCGAGGACGCCGCGGGGCGGACGTGCTGCCCGGCCACATGGTGGTGGTGCGGGGCCACGACGCGCCGCTCCTGGTCGCGCCTCCCTTGCTGTCCCCGGACGTCGTCGCGGTCCTCGCGTCGACGCGGCGGCCCGGGCGGCGCCGCCAGTCAGGACGACGACGGCCAGACCACGTCCTCGATCCAGTCGAGGTACGCGGACACCCTGATGTACACGCCCATGCCGCCGCACAGCTGGCCGAAGGACGTGATGCCCACGATGGAGTAGAGGCCCAGGGGCTTCTCCAGCACCTGCAGCGGCCCACCGGAGTCACCCTGCAACAGTGCAGCAGCAACGTTTAGTACTTCATGTGCGCCAGGCCAGGCGCAGGCAGGCGAGCTGACAAACTTTACATCCCGTCCACGTCGACTCAACTCGGCAACCTCGCGGCTGCAGCAAGGGCAGACAGTCTGCCATCCAGACGCAAAGTTGCACGGGGGCCTCTCCTCTCGCGTCCACCGAGAGGCACCATCTCCCCCGTTTCCGGGCGGGGCCGGGACGGGGCCGGGACGGGGTGGCGGTATTTTTTGCTTTCCGGTGGACGTTGTCTGCGCATCGCGTCGGCAGCGGCAGGGCAGCGGCAGGCTGTCAGGAAGCTTGGCCAGGAGTTGGCCCCACCTGGCAGGCCCTGCATTCCCAAGTCGGCCGTGCCCTTGTCCCCGAGCTTGCCTGCCTGCCCCTTCGCTGCCGAGGACTCTCCGGGGCGGGAAGCGTCCTTGCTAGACACCCTCGCGGAGGCACTCAGTATAATTGTCTGTTGAAGCAGCGCCACTGTGAGAGGGCGGCGGGGCGGCGGCGGGCCCAGCCCCCTCCGCGAGGTCGCCCCCACCCCTCTCTTCCACCTGAGTGTGCGAATACTGTTTCCAAAGCGAATACCTCCACACACGCGCGCGGCGTGTCCGGGGCGTGTCTGGAGTCTGGTTCCAAACAGGGATTTCGTTGCGCAGTCTCTCTCGCACCCCGACGAGAGCGACGAGACCCAGCGCGAGTGCGAGAGGGTGGGACAGAGCGACGAGGCGCGGTCCGCAACCAGCCGCCGGCGGTTGATCGCGCGGCCAGCAGGCGGCCAGTCGAGAGCAAAGCACACCGCCTTCGTTAGGTTTGCCGTCTGCAGCAGGCAGTGCCCCCCTCCCCCCCCCCCCTTTTGCAGCCCGCCGGGTGGGTCGCTCGGAATAGCGCGACGAGACACCGTCGGGGCGGAACGGCGGAACGAACGGGGTCGCCTTGCCGCATCGGCCGCATGGAGAATAGACGGATGGAGGACCGGCTCTGGGCCCGCGCGCCAGCGTTTTGGACTGCCGTCCGTGTCGGCGGTTGGGAGTACCCCGCGCGGCCACCGCGCGGCGCTGCGATCGCTATGCCTCCACTCTGCCACTCTCTCCATAGCGATGAGCCCACTAAACCATTACATTGCTCCCTAAAATTTCTGAAATTACGTTTGCTTTCTAGTGTCAGCTTCTTAAAAACCCTCACTGACATTCCGGAAGGACTGAGAAAGGACAGTGTCATTCGACTTTTCAGCCCAATTGAGTGGAATCAATGTAATTGATGCTTGAAGGTGCCTGGTGGTAACGTACAATTTATCCCTCAACATTCTACATGCCTTCTTCACACATATAATTTGTCTTAGACACAAAATTTTTAGGGGAGGTTCAGGTGAAAATCTTGCCATTTTCTAAATAGATCCCACTGTCATAACGTGTTCGGTATATAAAATCTTTCTTCGAGGAGACTAAATTTTGACTTTTGAAGGCCCATGCCTGGCTCTGAACCCAGTCGAAGAGTCTTCTCGGGCCTATCTTGGCTGTATCTTAAAAAATCTTCTTGCGCATACTATTTTGTCGTAAAAGGTTGACCTTGACATTTTTCACTTCTTCGATTCATTTTTAAAAGATTCCGGCATGCATAGCTCAAAATTTCCATTATATTATTAATTGTAAGTTTCTTAAGCTGAAAAGTCCCTAAAATTTGTCTATTTTGTACATTTTTGATCAATTATAGTGAAATGCTTGGCTAGAAAGCTTATGAATAAAAATGTAATTTACATTTTGAGTTGTGCATGCCAGCATCTTTTAAAAATGAATCGAAGAAGTGAAAAGTGTCAAGGCCAATCTTTAACGACAAAATAATATGCGCAAGAAGGTTTCCTGAGATGCAGCCAAGATAGGCCCAAAAAGACTCTTCGACTGGGTCCTGGGCATAGAATGTGCCTCCCCATGAAAAATTTTAATAATTACTTGGTAAGACATCAAATTTGTAACTAATTTTCACAGTGGGACCAATTTAGGAGAAAATAGCATTTTCACCAGAACCTCCCCTTAAAAATTAACATTTGTTATAAACAAACTTACAAAAGTAAAATGAAATTTATAAAAGCCCATATTACCTCACTCTGGGGACGAAAGGAATGAACTTTGTCGTTGACACTGTTGACAGCCCGATTGCTTCCCCCCGAACCCTAATGACATTACTGGACGTAACAATTGGGCATGACGATGGACTGTCAACTGCGAATCATAGGTGCAGTAAATCCCTCAGTCCTCCTAGAACGTGATTATGAAGTCGGATAATGATGACATTTGTGAGATGGCGAAAGAATGGGACTTTTCTGAGCGATGGCTATGGATCTGTGGGCGTTCGGCAGGTGCAGGTGGGGCGAAGTGGAGGCATAGCGATCGCAGCGCCGCGCGGTGGCCGCGCGAGGTACTCCCAACCGCCGACACGGATGGCAGTCTGTTTCGGACCCACAGCCGGTCCTCCATCCGTCTATTCTCCATGTCGGCCGCCTCAAAAGCGCTCCCGGCAGTCCGAAGCGAACAATGCTCCGGCGCCGTGCTGTCTCTCTCGCTCCGCCGCACACTGCGGGGGGCGCCACGAGTGCGACAGAGACAGACGTCCCTCGTACGCACCAGGCACGTGTCGGCGATGCCGTTGCTGCCGCGCGCGCAGAGCTGCTCCGGCCGGATGCCCCTGGCGAGGCGCGAGGACATGGCCCTGGCGAAGGACGCGTTGCAGCGCGACAGCGGCACCTGGTCCATGCCGGCCTTCATCAGCACGTCCGAGGTCTGGTCCAGCTCTGGAAGCAGAGAGGGCGGCAGGTCACTGTGAGTGGGGCAGAAGACCGGTGGCGGCGGTCAAAATACCGGACGCGTTTTGAGCTCCAGAATCGCTGAATGGGACTCGAACCGAACGCGTGACCCCACCTACGGATCGCTCTCCGAATGAGGAATCCATTGGTGGGGTCACTCGCTCGGCTCTTGTCCTGTACAGCTACTCTGCAGCTAACAACGCGTCTCGAGTTTTAGGCCGCGGCACCAGCCCACTGAGCAGGGTGCGGGGTGGCAACTCTACCCTATCCGATAGAGACCGCAAGAAGAAGACATGCAGGGCGCCAGCGCGCCGGGCGGCAACCTGTGGAGCGCGGCGTGGCGGCATCGCGGCGTGGGAGCCGACGCCTCCGCGGGGAGACGGGCCGTCGGACTGTCTGTCTGTCAGGCTGTCTGTCGTCTGTCTGTCGTCTGTCTGTCCGTCCCGAGCGAGCGAAAACGGAAACCGAGTTATTCCTCAAGCGTCCGGAGGAAAAGAGGGCCTTACCCCGCAAATGGTTTTTATAAAGCAGTTTGCAATGCAAATATATTTTTCTGGGAAGAATTTGGCCGTACGATATAGCAAAGGACTTACTTTGTTCTTTTCGCGCATGACAGCGCGCGTTAATGCCAACAAAAACGAAATCGTTCTGCAGGTGACATTGCCTTCTCCCTCCCCCTTTTCCCCTCATGATGAACACAGCCCTCTTTGGCAATGTGGTGGTAAAATAGGGCAGGAAATAAAGAGAGAGGATAATATGAAAGCGCCCGACACCTTTGGCCCTCTGACGGGCGGGGCCGCGCGGCGTTCATTACATGACGTGGGGCTGGTTAATGGGGAGGGAGAGAGGGAGAGCGAAATATATATAGATAGAGAGAGGGCTGGGGAGGCCTCGCTCCTCGAACTGAACCACTCGGCGTCGTCGCCACCAACCCTTTGTCTCGGTGGGGCCGCGGGCCGATGCCGAACATTACTTATTGGTCGCTCTGTCTCTCTCGCACCCCATCGGGCGACGCTTCATGATGAGTGCGGGAGAGACAGAGCGTGCCGGCGGTTTGGACGGACGGCATGGCCTCAGGGCCTCTCTGGGCCTCTGGCGGCCTCTGGCGGCCTTTGGCCTTTGGTTCGCCTTCGGCTGGCCGTTTGCGAGGCCTGGTGTTCGAGTGGAACTTTGACAGCCCGGCGAGTCAAGGCGGGACGGAAGTGGCAGCTGCTTCCCCGCCGGCCCCTTGAGGCTGACGCCGCCACGCCGACGCACACACACACACACACACACACACACACACACACACACACACACACCACACACACCACACACACGCACACACGCACACACGCACACACACATACATACTACATACTCATTTTTCGCGAGCAACCTTTATGAATTTAATCGGATTAGAAGTGGGGAAGGTAGGGTGCTCGCTCAGGATCGGGAAAAAGTTAGGCCGTTTTCGAGTTTCCGTCTTGGTCTCTTCGTGTTTGTTGTCCGGGCGGTTGGTACTCACGGTCGATGTCCGTGACGCCCCAGCCGGTGGCCAGCATGCCCGAGTCCGGGGCGCGCGGCCGCGAGTAGAGGCAGGCGGGCTGCACGCGCTCCGAGAAGCGCACCGCCTCGATGCGCAGCACGGCCAGGTCATTGTAGTGCGACTTGGTGCTGTAGTCCGGGTGCACCGACACCTGCAGCACGGCGCGCTGCTCGCCGTCCGCGTCCGTGAGGTTGTGGGCGCCCACGCGCACGCTCACCGGCTTACCCCTGAGGCAGAGAGAGAGGGAGAGTGAGCGGCGTGGCGAAGCGGTTAGAGAGGAGCGGTGTCATAAGTTCGTGTCCGGGGGCCTGCAAACACATTTTTAGCAGATGATACCTTCACACTTGAAACATACTTAAAACTACTATACACATGAAGGTGTCAGCGTGCTTTTACTCTCGAGTCCAGAAACGAAGCGCGTATCCTAAACAATATAATAGGGGCTGGCTGCCGGGGCGGGCTGGTGCGTGTGGCTGGCTGGCAATGAGGCGCAGCCTGCGCGGGATTCGACAATCCCTCCTCGGTACAGCGCCAGCGGCACCGGGCGTAAACAATGGCACCCCCTCCTCGCTCGCGACGGCCTGCCACGGCCTGCGCGCAACATTGACAATTCCTCCCCGCCTGCCACGGCGCGAAATATCGCGCAACAATGCCTCCCGATTCGGCCCGGCCCGGGGCACTCGGGCCAGCTCGGGCTCGGCGGCGGGCGGTGCAGGCCACAGCTCGGCACGGCTAGTACCAAAGTACCAACACCGGCCACCTCGCTCGGGTCTTTATATTTTGTTTCATACACAATTTTAATTACTATCTTTGGAATGAGCCCGCATACTACCCCGTATAAGGAATCCGAACGAGTATTGACTGAGAAATTTGAAAGGGAAAAGAAAAAAATTTGAACTCTACACCCCCTCCCCAGTCTTAATGGGGAGGCCTCCTGCTTTACTTCGGTGTTCGGGATGGGAACCGGTGCTATCAGGTACCTGGGGTTAATCCCGTCAGCGACTCTAAGCGTTCGCCGGGGGACCCAGTAGGACCCCAAAGCTCAGGCAGCTGGGTGAGAGCACCCAGTACGAAGCTCTTAGAGGGGCGGGACGTAGAGTGAGACGACAGAGAGACAGAGAGAGACTCAGACAGAGAAGAGGTTTGGTGGGAGCTTCTTGTTTTCGTAGGGTTGGTTGTGTACCCCATGGTACCCCCACTGTCCGGCGCTCCCGTACCGAACATACAGCGTTTTAGGCCAGCTTCAAAGGACTTATCATCGCCTCCCCGACGAATCGAGGAGGCACCACCCGCAACCACACACCGGGTGGTCTGGATTGATGGATCAAATACGCCATCGCTCCAGTGCCGAGGCCAACCCGCCGAAGCGGATTGCTTTTTAGACACCCACAGCGGAGTGGCCAGGTGAATGTGACTCTGACCACTACGCTATCACGCTTGTACGTCTGGCAGCGTGTTGGACGACGGGTTTGAGTTGCAGTGGGAGGAAGGCAGTCGAAAAATGTAACGAAATGATGAGATTCGATCCCCGGACCCCGCCACCGGGATCACACGACTCTACGCTCTCGGCCACCACGGCCCATGATGAGGGGACCGGCGTGAGGTGGGTTCTTGACGCAACAGGACTCGACCGACCCGGTCAAAATTTCGCAAGAAGTTGGGGGAGTCGAACCGCCGACCCTAGCATTGGGAACCGACGCCTCTACTCCCTGGACCACCACGTCCCATGCACGGAGTGGGCTCACGTTCACGGGTTTCAACCGCACTGGCGAGGCAGTAAAATTAAATGGAAATATTTGTTAGGAGTCGAACCTCCGGCATGTGGGTCTGTTGCACACGGCTCCGCTCGGATGGCCTCGAACCACCACCCTTTAGGATAGTAAGTCGAAAAAACGTATGTGACGCTGGTATTCGAACGCCCGCCTGCGGTAACTCGATCCCACGTCTCTAACCTCTCGGCTATCACAGCAGTTGTGAAACGCGACGGATCATCTGCTTTCATTAACGTTCGTTGAATGAGATTTTTTTCTCGAGTTTGAACACCCGTCCCTTTCGAGACGCGCGACTCTGTAAGCAAATGCAAGTGCGCGAGTGCTTCGCTGGGCGTTAGAGGCTAGCCGTAGTATGTATTGGGCTGCTGGGTGGCGCCTTGCTTGGCGGGGTGGCGTGGCGGGGTGGCCTCTCGACGTGCTTCACGGCTCCTTTTACCGCGCGATGCTCCCTCCAGACCCTCCAGCAGACTGATTCCGAGAGTCGCTCTCGTCGCTCTGTCTCTCTCGCACCTGTACGGCACGCCTCATGAGTGCGAGAGAGATAGAGCGACGATAATCCGTCTGCTGCTCGCGGTGCCGCGGCCGTCCGCCACTTCGTTAGCGGTCCGCGGAGGGGCCCGCCCCGCGCCCCATTCAAAACAAGGTTCGAGTGGAGGGGAGGGGAAGGGGGGTCATCTCCATCTTTTAACAAGCTTTTCGGAGGTCGTCTCTTCCTCCTGGCGGCCCGTGTCTTCCGCTTCGAAGCACGCGAAGCACACTGCCTCCTCCACCGCGGCGCCGCGGCGTGTTGCTGGTGGCTGTTACCGGCGGGGCGGTTCCGGACAGCGCTGTCTGTCTCTGTCGCACTCGTACCGTAGGAGTGCGAGAGAGACGGAGCGACGAAAGCGGCGTTCGGAATCAGCCTGTAGTTTCAGCTGTGGAAGTCAGTGTGGGCCAACCGACGGGTGGCGGACAAGAGCGCCTGTGAACGTAAGGGTAGGCCAACCCGCAACGCACCGGGGGTTGGCGGGACTGTCTACATTTAGCGCCTGTGGAAGTGGGGGTAGGCAGTCCCGCCGACCCCCGGTGCGTTGCGGGTTGGCCTACCCCGACTTCCACAGGCGCTCTCGGCCTCCAAGTTGAATGCATTGACGCCCGGCCTTACGAGGGACGCGCCTCCCGCGTTCTTTTCTTTCTGATTTCACATTCTTCCGGTCCCGCATTCAAAAGTGAAGCAGTAATCCGCCGTGAAAGCGGCCCGCTCCCTTCGCATGACACGGCGACGCACGGCGAGCTGGGATATCCAATTATACCCCGTTGGGAGGCGTGGGAGAATGGGCGCGTTTTCACCCCCCCCCCCCCACTGGACCGTCCCACCCCTGCTTCCCGAGCCTTGGAGTCTCCCCCTCCCCCTCCCACTTCCCTCGACCACGGCCGCCACAATCCCAGCATCCCAGCCCTCGGACCTCGGGCCTCGGACCTCGGACCTCGGACCTCGGACAGGGCGACGTCGTCACCTATTCTCTTTCTCTTGGCAGGCCGGACCGTCCCTTGCCCCATCCTCCACCTTCACGCGACCCAAATCCCCCCCCCTCACCCCCCATGCGGCATTCCGACCAAAGTCGGCCCCCGTTAGCCACGGGCCTCGCGGTTGCGACTGCGTATCGGAGAAAAAGTCCCTTCTCGATTCTAATGATGTTTCTCTCCGGGCCACACGTCCGCCGCCCGGGGGTGTGCCAGCAGAGCGTGCCAGTAGGGCGTGCCAACAAGGCGTGCCGGGGCGTGCCGGGGCGCTCCGGCAAGGCGTTCCCTTCCCGAGAGGTCCGAGTGTGTGCCCAAGTGCCGAACCGGAGACGAAAATCCCCGATTGCTTCGCCGAGGGCAGCCGACGGCCGGCGAGGGCCGGCGCCTGGCCTCTCCGCCATGGTGGTCGCCATGGTGGCCGATGTGGTGGCGCGCGTGGGGCTCCTCCGCAAACTTACTCCGGAATCCAATCATTTTTGGTCACGATGACTGCCTCGAGGAGGAGGACCTCGTTGGCGCTCCGCGTCCTGGTGCCTCGCCCCGCCCCGCCCCGCCCCGCCCCGCGCCCTAATGGCGTTAACACAATCTCTGTAATGGCGCGCAGGGCGCGGTGCGCGGAAGGCCCGGAGTCTTGAAGGCGCGGGTGGCCGCAAGCTGGGCGCCTCCAGCCGCCGGGAAAGAAAAACGAACGCCTCGCCGCCATAAAATTCGGATTACTTTAAAGTGAGGTAAACGATCGCGGCGTTCGCTACAGGTCCGCCCGTGCCGCGCCTGCAGAGTGCTGCATTGACGGACTTCGGAAAAGTCTGCGGGTTAGTAGCATTTTTGATGTCTGAAGAGCCACTGTGAGGGTAATTTCGTGCAGAGAGACTCCCTTGCACCAACGGGGCGTCCCACAGTGGGCCAGAGGACCGGCGCTTGCGGTCAAAACTTGAGTTCCAGGGACAATAAACAGGACTCGAACCGAACATGTGACCCCACCGATGGATTCCTCGTTCGAAGAGCAATCGATTGGTGGGGTCACACGCTCTGTTCGAGTCCATTTAGCGACTCTGGAGCTCAAAACGCGTCCGGGATTTTGACCGCCTCCACCAGCCTTCTGGCCCACAGTGCGTCCCGCAGGCCCGCTGGCCCGTAGGGGTGTACGTACTTGAAGCTGTTGGTGACGCAGTGCGCCGCGGTCAGGACGTGCTCCCTGCTGATGAGCGAGCCGCCGCAGTCCCACTTGATGGACGAGCTGCCCCGGTCCCGGTACCCCAGCGCCACCTGCAACAACGCATTGCTCGTACTCCTCGAAGCGCACGCCGCGCCGCCACAACTCATTAAGAATATTCATTAGGAGCAGCGCGGCGAGACCCGCGAGAAAAGCACACCATCACGTCCCGCTACCAAAAGGCGCAAGTCACTACATTACAACGTTTCCCTTGTTTCTGCGGAAACAAATTCGGTGTGGGATGGAAGAGAATAGCAGTAGCCATGCAGCAGCGTGCGACCTGCCCCGTGCCCCGGCGTGCCGCGCTGTGCGCCTTCCCGTCTCGGCTTGGCACCGAGGCCGAGGCGCTGCCGTGGCACTGCCGCGGCGCTGGGCGGCAGGGAGGCCTCGGGGCTCGGCCAGCCCGGGCCGCCCAAGGGCCGCCCCTCTTGGCACCCTTTCCGCTACTCCGGGAGATTAATTCTTCAATTTGGCGGCTGACTGGTCCACAGTGGCGGGGTAGCGGGGTGGCGGCCCGGACACGGCGGCCCGCGGCCCGAGCCGAACGTGCTGCCCTTGGACTGGACGGAGGCCCACATGCGCCCGGCTCGGCGGCAACCCATCGTACGCCGGTGGAGTGGAAGCCGCTCGTCCCGTCTCTTTCTTTTCTGTGTGTGCAAGCGGGGGGAGGCTCCCGGCCCGCAATGTGGCCATGCTTGTCGTCCGCCGCGATGCTTGCTGCTAGGCGGTGATTCCGCGGCTCATGCCCGCACCCCCAGCCGTGCGTCCGCGCGTGCGTCCGCGCCCTCCAGCGGCCCAGGCCAAGCCAGCGGCGTACCTACCATGTGCCTGAACTCCTCTTTGAGGGCCTCATCGCCACCGATCACGTACAGCGAGATGCCTCCCAGGTCCTCGCCCACCTTGCCCTCGGAGGAGGCTGGCGGTGACCCCAGCGGGATGCTAGGGTCCACGGCGCCGTCCGAGTCCGGGACGGGCGTGGTGGAGTGCGGCCGCGCGGTGGAGGGCGGCCGCGCCCAGACGCTGTCCGGCGGCACCCGCCAGTTGCCGGGTCGGCCCTCCTTGCCCGTGAACCCCGTGGAGGCGTTGACGCGCACCAGCCGCGGCCGCGACGTCGTCTCCTCTTCGAACTGGCCGAACGACTCGCGCTCGCGGCCGCCGTCGCCGCTGCGGGGGTCGATCAGGGCGCCGTAGTCGTCGGGGAAGGCGGTGGTCGTCGGGGCGTCGACGCGGGGAGGCCGGGGGTGGGTCTCCACGGGCGGGGGGTGGTTGGGGTTGGCGGGGTTGCGGTCGTACGGGGGCCGGTTATTGGGGTTCACGAACGCGGGGTTTTCGGGTTCGCGTTCGCGTGGAGGGTGGTCAGGGTAGCGGTCCAGTGTGGGGTTGGCGTGGTACTGGTCGTGGTTGCCCAGGTTGTCGTGCGAGGGGTGGCGCTCGTCGTGTGGGGGGCGGGTGTCGTCCCTGTGTCCGGGGAACAGGTTCTGCAAGTGCCTGTGCAGGTGGTCGACCCGCTCCTGGTGGCGGTGGACGGCACCGCGGATCCCTTCCCTGATCCCTTCCCGGATGCCTTTCAGGATGCCGAACCTGGCGCCGACCGCCTCGCCAGTCTCACCAGCCTCGCCAGCCTGGACTGAGTCGTCGGGGCCGGTCGTCGAGTCCAGCGTCCCGTCGGTGGTGACGTCATCGTCCAGGGTCAGGGCCAGTGGCCGCGGCGGCGGCGCCCCCGGGGGCGGCACGCGGGAGAGCGGGGGGCCGCGCGACAGGGACCTGAACACGGGCAGGTCGCTGGGCGCGTCGAAGGGCTCGGCGAAGTCGTCGGTACCCACCATGTGGGGGAACTCGCCCTTCTCGGCCACCGAGCCGCCGTAGATGTACACGTTGATGCTGGGGTTAATCTCGTTGGTGAAGTCGCGGCACGCTGCAACACCGAATGCACAGGTCATTGTGGGGACGCCCTGCCGCCCTGCCGCCACACCTCAAAGCGGTTCGGTCCGCGTGGCCAGTGGCTTCCGGGAATGAGTGCTGCTGTGCCCCGGGCTGCGCGCTGGGACCCTAACCCTGGAACCTGGAACCCACACGCATGATCGCACGCATCGCGCGATCGCGCGTCAGCGCTGCGCGTTCGTCCCACGAGAGAGAGAGAGAGAGAGAAGAAAAAAGGGCGGCGCGGTTTTTCCGAATGAGCTGGAATCACGGCAGCGGCGCCACGGCCCCAGAGCGACGTCTCTTCTCGCAATGACAGGCCGGCCCGGGGCCTGGGCCAGTAGACTGATGACGAGAGTCGTTTTCGTCGCTCCGTCTCTCTCGCACTCATGCGGCGTCCCCTCTAGGTACGAAAATGACTCCCGGAATCAGTCTGCTGGGGCCTGGCTGGGGCCTCAGTGTTGGCCTTCTGTAATTAGAAAGAGCCGCTGGAGAGCCGCCGCCCCGGGCACGTGCCTTGAGTCACCCGACCGTCACTAACCGTGGGGCGGTGGAGCGAGGCGGGGCGGGGCGGGGCGGGGCGGGGCGGGGCGGGGCGGGGCGGGGCGAGATGGATCCATCTGCCGTCCGAAACAGATTATAAAGCGCATATGCACGCAATTACTTTTCCTCGCGGGCATTTTCCGCCGCTTCACAAGAACCCCAAAATGAAACTCTTTAGTACTCAGTCCCGTGTGCGCGCGCGCGCGAAACGAATCAAGAAGTTACCAAAAAGGAAAACTCGAAACGGTTTGTATAGCAGTGGGACAGCCCGCCCCGGGGCCCCGGACGGAGCGACAAAGTTGATTACTTGCGAGATCGTCGTCGGCGACAAGGCGCTGCGTCGTCCCTCGTCGCCCAGGACGGCCCGGGGCGGAGCGGCGGAGCGCGGAGCCTGCAGGCCGCGCTAAACCCTACACCCTAAACCCTGAACCCTGGACCCTCACCGCCAGGTTCATCCGGGGCCTCGCCTCGGCGCTTCCGCCTGCCGCTGTTCCCGCCGCCCTTCGCGCCGCGCCGCCAAACGACATTTTCGACGGTTTCCTCCACTTTTGCATCTGCGCGGCTGGCGGCGGCAGACGGATTCCGAGAGTTGCTTTTGTCGCTCTGTCTCTCTCGCACCTATAGGGGATGCCCCACGAGTGCGAGAGAGACAGCGCGGCGAAAACGACTCTGCCGGCGGCGGCTCCAGACGGCCCGAGCCCTGATCCCCACGCTGTTGCCTTTACCTTCCTCCGCGCGGCGCAGCGGCACGTCGGCGCAGCAGATGATCTCCACGAAGCCGGAGAAGCCGCAGCGCTTGGGCCGGAAGTTGCGCCGGTCCTTCTTGAAGAGGGCCAGCGCGGACGGGCACTGCGTCATCGGGATGCACTGGCCGCGCGACCCGTCCGCCATCTTGCAGGGCGAGCCCTCGTACAGCGCTGGAAACAAACACAGTCGCCTTAAGATTCCGTCTGATCGGTCGAGCCGCCGCCGAAGGATTCCGAAGGATCATCCCGTCGTTGTGTCTCTGTCGTACTCTTGGGGCGTTCCGTAGGGGAGCGAGAGAGACAGAGCGACGATGCTCGGTCCTTTTAGAGTCCGCGGTGGCTGGCTGGTCGTCATCGCCGTGGCGGGAGCCTGAAAGTGAAAGAGTTTGTTGATGACGCTGGCGCTGCCGGCCCCAGGTCCCCAGGTGGGGTGGCCGTTGGTCGTTCATCCCGCCCCGCATCAATTTTACAACGAGTACCGCCCAGTGCGCCCGCTCCATTGTCGTTGTTGTCGTCGCGGTGGTCGTCGCCCTTAGCGGCGCGTCAAACACTCGGCCCGGCGGAGTGAGGTCCCCGCGGACGGTCTCGTTCATCCAGGAATGACGTTTTTACGCGCGCTATAAAGTTGCCACCGGCCCGTCGAGGTAGAAAAAGGCACGGCCGGGCACGGCCGGGCAAGCGACACCGGCGCCAGCACCGCGATCCAGCCACACACACATACACACACATGCGGGGTATGTGTGCGTGTGGTGGTGGTGGTTGTTGGGGGGATCCCCATGGGTGTTAAAGGGAGAGGGCCGGTTTACCTCGGCGGTGCGGTACCTCCAGCAGCAGGTGATAGACGGCGAAATTGCGAAAGGGGGCTGCGGCGTACATCATAGAGTTCGGCCGCCAGGGATGAGCAATTTGGGGCGGGCGGGCGGTAGCGCGGGCGGTAGCGCCGGGGTGGTCTGCGCGGCGGGCTGGCCGCGGCCGTGTGGGGCCCACACCGTGGGGCCTCGAGCTTCGACTTGCCGAAGGCCAAAGGTAGTTGGGGAATGAGTTTAGCCGGGCGGGACGCGGACCGCGGGGCGCGGACCGCGGCGGGCCGCCGGTGCGGGCACTCCCAGGGGGGCGCGCTGCTGCAGCAGGAGAAGGCGGTGTGCGTGGAGGAACGGCCCCCGAGGGGCTGAGGCCGGGGCTGGGGCGGAGCCCCGCTGGCCGGGCCGGGGGTTGTTAGTGCAAGGGCGGGACCGATAAAGGCCCGCGTCGTGCCTGCGGCCTGCGGTTCGGCCCGGCCAGGGCCCGGCCCTGTGCCTCGCGGCGCTCCCGGCCGTCTGTCCCGGCGTCGCGGCATGTGGCACAGCACCCCCGCGCGGGCCTCCTCGTTCGCTTGCGTCGCCGCCGCCGTCGCCGCTTCACGGCACACCAGAAGCTAGACGGCGGGCGACACCTGCCGGCGTTCCCTCGCCTCGAGCTCCACGACGCCCCCGACCGCAGCCCTGCTGCCGTCGAAACGTTTTCGGGGGCTCTTTCATGTCCGTATCATTGATCGTCAGAGTCGGTTTTGTTCTCTCTCAAAACAAAATAAAGAAATCACAACACAGTGAAATCATTTTTCTTTTACCGCCAGGCAAGGCAGCCAGTCATCCCAGCACGCGGTGTTCCCAACGCAATATACGTCGTCTCTAAATGGAGCCAAATGGAGCCTGCGTGCGGTGTGGCGGTTTGACCGCCGCGGCCTTCGGAGTGCTCGTGATACCGAGACCCACTTTCAATATCACCCGCGGAGAGGGGGGGAGGCCTTGCTGTACGCCTTGGAGATGCTTGCCAACGCCTGCCAGGCCCCACCAGGCTCCAGGCCACCGCGCTAGGCCGCCCGTCGAGGGTCCTGGGTCCACACACTTACCCGCACTACAGTCGCGCAGAGTGACATTTCAAGTGGAGGGCGGTTCCCCTACGTCCTTGTCACTAATGTGTGTAAGGAGTAAGTTGCCAAATGGCCGCTCGGTCGCTCTGCTCGTGAGGATCAGGCCGACTATCGTCAAATTGGACTGTCGTTCCGTTTCTGATTTTCCACCGTCCGCCAGCACTTCTACGTCCCTCGGCGGCAGTCTCATTCCTTCCCTTCGTCGCTCCATCTCTCTCTCTCTCTCTGTCTCTCTCTCTCTCTCTCTCTCTCTCTCTCTCTCTCTCTCTCTCTCTCTCTCTCTCTCGCACCCCTGCGGTCCTGGGGGACACTCCTTGAGTGCGAGAGAGACGGAGCAGGCCAACACCCAATACCCAACACCGAGCCCTCCCTCTGTTTGCCTTGGCCGCTCGCGATGACGTCACGGAGGTGTGGCGGAGTCGTTCGGCTCGCCACTGTAAACCGTATCCCGCGCTTCGGTGGACGTCTCCTCATTTCCGCGCCAAAATAGATAAAAAGGGCTTTGCGCCGCGCGGTGCCGCGTGCTTATTGAGCGAGGGCAGCTTCAGGGCCCGTGGGCCCGTCGCTGTGGCGGGGTTGGCGGGGCAACGCCTCGGCCTCGGCGGCGCCTTGCGGTGTAGGCGCGGCGTCTTTGCCGCCTTTGAGGATTACCCGGCCAGGCGCCTCGGAAACGAATGCCGACTGGGCGGGGCTGGGTGGAGCACACCTGTGTGCAGCTGGATCAAGCTCTTGTTTTTTTTTTTCGCGTTGTTTTCGCCCGTACAGGACATGTTCCGTTTCAGCCACGACGGCTTTAGGCCCGAGCTGGGGGACCAACCGAGACCCCACCCGAACTCAGTTTGACGTTGACGTGCTGGGTACGTTTTGAGGCTCAGGTTGGGGGGTTGAAACCACCGAGGCTCGAACGCGATGGGGCTCGTGCCGTGCCTCGTTTTGTCATTGTCGCTGCGAGAAAACCCTCCCTGTTTCTGCCCCGAGCCGCATCACGGCCTCATTGCCGGCTGATCATGAGCGGCGACGCCCCGCCCCGCCCCGCCCCGCCCCGCCCCGCCGCGCAGTCGGATAAACACGGAGTTATGCGGGGCCGGGGGCTGCAGGCTGATTCCAGGCCGGGGGAGTCCCGTCGGTGCGTTTCTCTCGCACTCGTTGCGCGTCCCGCGAGAGCGAGAGAGAGAGACGGTCCGGCCAGCAGGGCCCGCCGCTCGGCCCGCCGCTCGGCCCGCCGCCCCCCACGACGGCGAGATTGCCGGCAGGACACACGGCCCTTCGTTTTCGCTGTCCGCCGCGCCAAACTAGAATTTATGTGTCCAGGGCGCGCGTGTTCCTGCGAGGGTGTAGGTGTGTTTTGGTGTGTGTGTGTGTGCGCGCGTAGGTGTGAAATGGAAGGAAAACATGACCCGAAGGCACGCACTTATTGAAAAGACAGAGAACGCACTGTCTCTCCGCAAACCTTTGGCAACCGATGTGACGGCTGGGCTGCCCCCGTCCGCTTAGTAGTGCCAGTGGTCGTGGCAGTGGCTGGGTTGGCTGGCGTCGGCACACAAACTGAGTGGTTTGCGTCCTCCACCGCCTCGCCCTGCTTGGCCTCGCCCGGCCTCGCCCCCGACTGCCGCGTCTCGTCATGTTGTATATTTCCGAGAAACGCAAATCTGCCTAGATGTCGTCTCATTCCCCTGAGTGGGCTGTCTGCAGTGGCGACAATATCTCTGCGCGTTTGCTCCGCTTTTTTCCGGCTCCATAAAAAGAGCGTTAGGCTTGCGGGGCCAGGCGGCCGGGGCTGAGGAGGGCCAGAGGGCGGACATCACTCCAGTCGCGCTTTGGGCACTACATTACCACGAATAGGACTTCGATTCAGACACGCTGACAGCATTGCACCGCGTATTTCCTGGGTTCGATTCCCGGAACGGGCCGTTTGAAAACAAGGGAGCGACGTGAGCGCCGAGCTGCAGACTGATTCCGAGAGTCGTTTTCGTCGCTCTGTCTCTCTCGCACCTATACGGGCCGCCCCATGAGTGCGAGAGAGACAGAGTGGCGAATCAGTCTGCTGCATGCACGCCCTCGTTCGGATTGAGCGATGCAGCGCGCAGCCCGCAGTCTGGCGGGCTGGCGGTTCGTGTCCGCGCCTCGCGACACCCGTAAAGCAGTGTAGCAGTCAGTGACTGTGCTCTTGACATTGCAGGGGCGACAGCCGGCAGCGCCACTCGCGCGCTCGGCTCGCGGAATAAAATAAACTCTGCCGGGGGAATATTTAAATGCGCCGAGCACGGTATGGGATAGGATCATGTTGTGGAGGGCAAAGGGAGAGAGGGGGGGCGGCGTTGACGGCACCCCGATACGTCAAGGCGCGTCCCGGCCCGCCACGGCCCGCCACGGCACTGTGGGATTGGCATCGGACGCCCCAGTCCATCATCGGTCTCCCTCCCCGTTACCTCGGTTACCTCCACCACCTGCCGCGTCTGCCAAAATACGACGCCGAGGTTGGCGGCCAATAAGGGTGGCGCGGCCATGCCTGGCCATGCCGAAACAAAGTCCGCCCGTCTGCCACTGCACGCACACACAGACACACACACACACACACACACACAGTTGGAGGCGTGGGACTCTGCCAGGCCCAGTAACAAGCCAATTGTGGTGGCGCGCGGTGCGCGCTAACCCCGTCGCGACTGTCACGGGCGGAAAAGGGAGGGGGAGGGGTGTGTTCGCGGAAGGGTGCGCGGGATGAACGCGCCAAAAGTGAATTGCCACGGGGGAGGGGGATGTCAGGGCGGAGACGTCATGAGGCCCTCGAGCTGTCGGACAACCCGCGATGCCAAATGCACGAAAATAGAGCCATGCTTTCCAGCAGAGAGAGAAGGGGGAGGGGGAGAAGACGAAGAAACGCACTGTCGCGACATCCGCGACGTGACACGACAATGGTAACGCGGTGAACTGTGTTCGTTGACGGTGTACTCACACGCGCTGGAAGCCTGGCCCTGGGCGCGCGCCAAGAGGCACAGTGTCACGATGACCGGTTGCCACAGCAACATGGCGGCGGCGGTGCCGGGCGGTCCAGATCGACTGGCCGACTGGCCGATGACGACGTGCGGCACGACGTGCGGCACGACGTGTATGCAGTGTGGTGGCCGGTCCGCGGCGATGCAGCGCGCTGCAATGCGATGCAAGTGCAAGTGCGGCGGCTCGAGACGCACGTCCCCGTCGAGGTTGCTCCGCTTCTCCGCTTCCTCGTCTCGCGGGTGGAGAAACAAGGCGGCGTCACGTTGACGAGGCGGCCGTCCGATCGTCTCGGCTTTGAAATCGCGCGCTAATCACTGCACTGGTTGGCGGCCCTGCTGGGCCCGCGAGTCCGCGCCGCGAGTCCGAATCTCTGAGTTCACTCGTCTGGGCGACAAACCGACTCCGCCATCCTTGAGCGACCGACTAACCGACTGCAGAGTGTTGGTTGGGCCGGGTATCGCGCCCCACCCCGCCCCGCCCCGCCCGCCCCGCTCCGCGGCCCCCCGCCCTGGCCTTAACCGTGAGACGGCCGGCCGGCCGGGCGAACGGCCGCGACCGCGAGCGCCGCGACCGACCGGCCCGTCCCGGCGGGACACTGGCAGAGCAGCGCGACGAATCGGACCGTTCGCGGAACTTGGCAGGATGATTAGGAACTTTGTTTGAGAAAAAGATATTCCAAAAAGGATGAGGGATGGGGTGGGCCGCAAGCCGTCGCGGCGCGTCGCGGCGCGTCGCGGTGTCGTGTTCGGATGTTTGGATGAAACTTGTTGTTTCGTTGTTGGCCGCTCCACGCGCCGCGCTTCGAGGAACGCGCTCTAGCAGAGGGATCTGTCAGCGAGCCGCGCGCCGCGCCGCGCACAGAAAGACATATCCTATTTTCGGGGGAAAACCGCGCGTGTCGTGCGCGCCAGATTACGGCGGCCCTTTTTAATGACGCCGCCGGAGAGGCTTTGCGACGCTTTGAGGCGAACTCCACGGCACGGGAGGACGCCGTCGAGGCCGCAGCAAAATCGATATCATCTTCATCTACGCACACCTGTCTTGTCGCCCTGGCCAAGCCGGGCCAAGCACGAAGCTTGAAATGGTCCGAGAAGGGAGAAACACTTCCGTGGCGTTGCCTGTCCACTGGGGAGCCTCTACAGTCCACCAGCAAGCTCACCCTAAACAGTCCGTTTCTTGAACCACGATAATTTGCCCGCAGTAAGTGAATTCACTTGAAACATTCAATTTACATAACTTGTTACAGATTTATTTTCTCAATTCAAGAAAAGCCTTTTTGTGGGGCTGATTCCGAGCACTGCCCTCCTCGCTCTGTCTCTGTCGCACCTAGTGCAGAACTCCCGTGAGTGCGAGTGAGACAGAGCGACGAGAACAGTGCTCGGAATGAGCGTGCCTCGCCGTGCGCCTGTGGTGGCCGAGGCAGGCCGAGGCAGGCAGGCCCGCCGCGCGCTGGCGTCCCAGGGGCGGCCGGGCCCCGGGCCCCTGCCCGACTTGGCGGGCGTCGAGGCCCGGGCCGGGGCGAGGCGCGGAGGGCCGCCTGTTTGAGTTGGGCGTCTTGTTCAAGTTCCGTGAATCCTGAATCCATTACCGCGGCGCAGTTTGTTGGTGTCGTCTCGGCTCATGCACGTGCACGGCGCGTCTGCGCTGGCCGCGTCCGCCACTGTACTTGCTGCACTGCTTGTTTGTTTCTGCTCGGCTTCGTTTCCTCTCCGTCATCTTCTTCTCCTTCTTCGTCTTCTTGGGGGAGGGGTTCCCGGCGGTGATCGGAACGCAAATAAAACGTATGATCGACTAGCCGTGCGTGCATGTGAGAGATCCGTCCGGATTACTGTGCGAGAGAGAAAGAGCTGGGGATGTGGAACGGTAAACAAGGAGAGCAGGCAGCACGACGGCGGCCACCCGGAGCCGCGCGCCGACACTCGACAGCTGCAGACTGATTCCGAGAGTCGTTTTCGTCGCTCTGTCTCTCTCGCACTCATGTGGCGTCCTTGAGGGTGCGAGAGAGAGACATAGTGACGAAGGCCTCTCTCGGAATCAGTTCGCTGGTCTGGCCGATGAGTGCGGCCGGCTGACACACCGGGACGGGGACTCCCCGCGGACTCGCCGCGGACAGGCCGACAAACTGGTTGGGCTTCCCTAGCACGCCTAGGGCGCGTGCGCCGCGCCGTGCCTCTTGCGGCCAGTGCACTGTAGAACTCTGTCGACGAGGAGACGATTCACTTCAGGAACTCCGCCGCCGCCCGATGGGTTCGACTTCGACGCTCGCGGAGCCCTTTAACGTGGGCGTGGGGCGGGGCGGGACTCCGGCGTCGTGGATCCGCGAAGCCTGGAAGTTGGTTCATCGCCTTGCGAGAAGGTTCTTCGTTCTTCGTCGGCCAGCCTCACTGGTGCGCGCGACTACTGTGCAGCACCGCGTCTGCACGTCTTCCACGACCCGGCCGCCGCGGTCCGCCGCGGTCCGCCGTCCCGAGACTGATTCAGAACTCTCAAGAATCGCTTCGTCGCTCTCTTTGTCTCTTGCGCTCATGGGGCAAGCTGTGCGGGTGCGAGAGAGACAGAGTGACCTCTGCAGAATCGCCGGCACTCTGCTGACCGCGGGCTGGGTTGAGGCGTGCTGGTTGGGTTGCCTACCGCCGCGGCGCAGAGTGCGATGGGTGGTGTGCGACCCAGGCGCCGCCGGCCGCCGCCGGCTGCAGATGGATTCCGAAGGAAGAGCGCTTCGTCGCTCTGTCTCTGTCGCACTCATGGGGCGTGCCGTCGGGGTGCGAGGGAGACAGAGAGATGAAAGAGATCGGAACCGCTCGGCTATGCCCGTTGGGTGGTCTGCTCCACGGGGTACCCCACGCTACCTGCGGCCGGCTGGCGCCCAGCGACCCCTCGCTGCGTCGGCCCGTCCTGGCGCTTCATTTTCCAGTAATGCAATTACGTTTTTCGTCTTCGTTTTTCTGAAAGGGACGGTTGAATATTGTGGCGCTTGTTACCTGACATGCGTTCATCCCGGTTGTGTTACCTCACCCCACCCACGCTACTGCATATAGGGCACCGGTAGTTTGCACACTGGCAGGTACTGTGTGAACATAGTGCGCAGTGGCATAGCAGCCCCCGAATTATTGATGGCAATCGAGGTCACGTGTGTTATTAATGATGGTTTGGGTTCGTGTTGACGGTCCGTCGGCCAAAGCCGGGCCTGACGGGTCCTCATGGCAAATGGCGTCTGCAGTTAAATATCACGCGTGCTGGCGGCGGCATATCGGCGCCGCCGCACCGCTTCACAGTGGGCCAGAAGACCGGTGGAGGACGCGTTTTGAGCTCCAGAGTTGCTAAAGGGGACTCAAACCAACCGTGTGACCCCACCAATGAATTGCTCTCCGAACGAGGAATCCGTTGGTGGGGTCACACACTCGGTTCGAGTCTTGTTAAGCGACTCTGGAGCTTTAAACGTGTCTAGAGTTTTGGCCGCCGGCACCGGTCTTCTGGCCCACTGTGGGCTGGACGATAGTGACCGCCGGCACCGGTAGTCGAAGCCGGCCTCGCGAAGGTAGAAGGGAGCGAAGGGGGCCACCGGCGTGTGGAATGGGGCCAGGCGGCCGGGTCTCGTCCAGGCCGGCCTCACGGCCTCACACCTTACCGATGCTGTAACCGCGTGTAACCGACCAACTTTCTCCTGTCCCTCGTCGGCGCTCCGAGTCGGCTTCGGCTCGCCTTCGGGGGCCTTCGGGATTCTTCGGGTCAGGGCTCGTCCTACCTGTTGTGAGTAGCGTACGTGGGCGGCAAAGGAATGCATTTCGGATCGCACCCGCGGGGCCCAGGGCGGGCCCGGGCGGGCCTGACCGCGCGCGGCAGGAGGGGCGTGTGTGCCTGGAGGCACGTCGCCACCTGCTCGTCGGGGCCGTTTGCTGGACGCTGTAATCGAGTCCCTTGACGGCCGCCCTTGCCGGCCCGGTGGCCGTGGCGACGCCGCGCTCGAACGGCTCTGACACTCCGCTTCCCGCGGCTCCACTTACTTTCATCCCGTCGCCGAATTCGGCCAGATGCGACAGGAGAGCGGCGTGTCCACGCGGACGGCGCAGACGGCCTTGGAGGCCTCGTCTGTAAAACGGATGCTACACTGAGAAACATCCCCGGTCCAGGTCGTAACTTTTCGTAAAGGACTCCCTGAAGAACGCGCGGGCCCCTTCATTCCCCGTTGAGGGACGGCCCCTGCCGCGGGCCCCGGCCCGGCCGGCCCCGCGACCTCGCCTTGCCGCGCTCTCGGTGCTCGTCTTCCTCCGCGGTGGCCCTCGTTGCGCCTCGCCCGGCCTGGCCGACCTGGCCGACCTGCCCGACCTGCCTCAATGTGACCGCAAAGCAACGCGGAGCGAGACGGTGCGCTGCCGAGAGGGGTTTCGCACCCATCCAAAAGTCCCAATGTCCTTCGACGTCTTATTATTCATCCCCCCCCCCGTTCCCCTCAAAAAATCGAACCGCCCCTTCAAGTATTACTCCAGTGATTAAATTAAAAACCTTCCAGGCCGTGCTTCTGCAGAAAAACAACGATTTATTTTATTTTTGGAAAGGGGCAGTGTGGAAATCCCGCCTTCTTTGCAAAAAAACAAAGAAGTGGAGATCTTTACGAAAAAGTTTGAGGAGATTACTTCCTTTCTACGTCGCGGCCCTCCAACTTGAAACGGCGTGGATCCACGCCTCGCGTCGCGCCAGCCTTGGCGCCAGCGTCGCACTGCCGGCAAACCATTGCTCGTCTCGGGCCGTAATTTGCTTAGCGATGAAATCCACCTAGCGTGGCGGAAGGGCACCGGGCGGCACGAGGTGGGGGGAGGCAGGAATGTTGGCGCCACCAGCGATCCTGGAGTCCTGGAGGCACTCCACTGAGCCACTCTGCGTCCTGTCTCCGTCGCGCGGCCGTGCCCAGTGCGTGCCCAGCGCGTGCCCTACGACGACAAGACGCAAACATTACCCAGCCGCTGGCTAACTCTATTAACGTGTGCGCACACACACAAACACACACACACAAACACACAAACACACACACACACACACGCACGCACGCACGCCAACTCCCTCTCCGCACAGTTGATTTGACAAAGGCAGCTTCTATCCGTCTCCCTCGCCGCCCCCGATCGCGAAATAGGGCGAAAATACCGACAGCCGTGGAGTGTCTGGCGCCGCTGATTTATCCCGCACCGCCTCTCGAAGTGGTTTCCCTGAGCGGCGCGCCCCGTCCCTGCTCCCTGCAGACTGCCTGCGGAGCCCTGGCACTCATATGTCAGCCCTTTCAGCCGGCCCGGCGGCCCTGAGAGGCGCGGCACGGCAGGGCGGTGCAGGGCAGGGCAGTTCACGGCACGGCACGGCACGGCAAGGCGGGAGGGAAGCGGAAACTGGGGAGCGCGGCGGACTTCCCCGAACTGCGCCGCTGCTCCGCGCTGC